AAAAAGAAACAAAAATTTTAAAAAAAACCACAACATACCCCCAGGCTAATCGGGGCTGAAACTAAGTCATGGGTTCAACAGCCCGGGGCCTGCCGGAATAGCCAGGTCTTAATAGCCTTTCGGAAGGCCATGAGAGTGGGTAGGGTCCGGATCTCTGGGGGCAGTTTATTCCAGAGGGTCAGAGCGGCTACAGAGAAGGCCCTCCCCCGGGTGGTTGCCAGCCAACATTGTCTGGCTGACGGCACCCGGAGGAGGCCCACCCTGTGCGATCTTATCGGTCGTTGGGAGACTAAATGGACATCTTTCAAATAACTAGACTGTATGCCATTAAGAGTTTTATAGGTGATAAGAGCCACACTGATTTGCACCTAGACTGGTAGTCATCAATGTGTGTCCTAGAACAGAGGTGTTACTTAAACATATTGAGACACCCAATAACTTGCACCTGCTGCTGCATTCTGGACTAGTCATAGCTTCCAATGGTCTTCAAGGGCACTCTTAGGTAAAGTATATTGCAATGGTTGAAATATGAGATCACCAAAGCATGAGAGACTAAGGATCTCCCAGTCCAGATATGAGTTCAAATGGCAAACTAAAGTAATTCTCTGCTAAAACTTTCCTAGGAATGGTTGCCATCTGCTGCTTGAATAGGAATTGTGGTCCAGAAAGAATCCCAGATGTGATGCCAGTCCAAATGGGGGCAGTGTAACCGCATTTAGGATTAAAGATGGAGGATATCCAGATCCAGATAGCCATAGCTATAGTGTTAATACATTCATTACAGTGGGACCTCGGCTCCAGAATGGCTCAGATCACGAACAATTCAGGTGCCAACCGAAAAATCCGCTAAATGTTTCACTCACGTCATGAACACATCGGGTGCCGAATAAATACAGCCATGGCGTACCATTTTTTGTGTTTTGCACGCATGAGCAGTCAGTCTTGCTTCTGGTCACGACCAAATCGGGTGCCGATTGAAGTCCCGGAACGAATTACAGTCAGCACCCAAGGTCCCACTGTATATTACATAGACTTAAGATTTAGATGCTTAAAGCAATCTTTTCACCACTTAATGTCTCCAAATCCCTCTTAAAAATAGTTCCTTGACACTCTTATGGGTACAACCCTCAGAGTTATGAAGATTGCACTCTCCTACTTTGGTAAATTTTCCCCAGACATCGTTCTCTTGACTTGTTGGATTTCATATTTGTCTTGAGACAAATGATTCAGAATCCATGAACTTTTAACCTACGTTGTATATAGCTGTGTAAGAAAGACATTTTCATCTAAATGAAAAATTATATAAGTGAAATGTTGGAATAAAAATGTGACCTTTAGAAAACACAAAAGGCTTCACAGTGTCAAAACTTCTGATATTAGAGACAGAATTAACTGTTGTTGAAAAATTAGCACATCTGCTGTAGATCCCTAAGACAACCAAGACAATAAACTTGTAAACTGTCTATGACTTTATTCTATAACCTATATCCATGATGGTGAACCTATAGCGTGCATGCCACAGGTGGCACACGAAGCCATATGCTTCGGCACGCATGCACCAACCAGCTGATTTTCATCCTTCCGGAGAGCTGGCGAGGCCGTTTTTGCCTTCCCCAGGTTTCAGGAAAGCCTGGGGAACAAGCTTCTGGTTGGGTCTCTTTTTCGCCCTTCCCAGGCTCCGTAGTCTTTCCTGAAGCCTGGGGAGTGTGAAAACAGCCTCCCCCAGAGGCCCTCCGGAAGCCGTAAAAGGATCATTTCTGAACTTCTGGTTGGCCCGTTGGGGGCGTTTTTCGCCCTCAGAATGCGAAAAGTGGCTCCAACGGGTCAACCAGAAGTTGGGAAACGATCCATTTCCGGCTTTTGAATGGCC